GTCAGCTCTGTGGCAAATATGGTCATAAGGTGCAAAAATGCTATCATCGATTTGATAGGAATTTTACAGGTGTTTTCATTGACAATCGAAGCAGTGAAGAGTGGAGTACATCTCATGTTTCTACAGGAAACCGACAGTTACCTTCAAATGCTCATGCATTCACGCATGCAATGAGTGGTCCTTTTCCCTCGACGAGTGCATCTTTTTCTTCTCCTCATGGATTCTATTATTTTAATCCTCATTTTATGATGCTTAGTCCAGTATCTTTTTATCAGGGGGTTCCATGGTACTATCCAATGCAAGCATATGGTGGTTTAGATTCAGTTAAAAGTTCACAAGGATTTGTGAATCCTTCAACTGCCTTTGTCTCCATTAATCATTCGACTCGACCTGTTGTGTCAACTGGTAGTACTGATCCAGTATGGTATCTATATGCGGGGGCAACATACTGATCCACTAGAATTATCCTTGTTAAATTTCTCAAGAATCTTGTCCACATAGCGTGACTGAGTTAGTTTAAGGTCTTCAGCTGATCTTTTAATTTGGATGCCCAAAATTGTATCAACCAATCCCATATCTTTAATGTCAAATCTTAGATTTAACATGTATTTGATACATTTTACCATTTCATTGTTACTTTTAACAATGAGTATGTCACCAACATACAAGCATAAAAATGACATATCTAACGTTTGTAATTTTGTCATCTCAATCAACATGTTAATGTCCAGCTCAGACTGTTGTAATTTTTTAATAAAAATGAAAAAATTGAAACATATGAATAGTTGAATGACCATTTTGTAACTTTTAATAGTTAGGAGACTCAACAAAGCAATATCATATAACTGAGGGACTATTTTGTAACTTTCTATAGTCGGGAGATTCAACAAAGCAGTACCCTATAGCCGGGGGTAATTTGTATACTTTACCTTATAATATTATGTTTAAATGTAAAATACATTGAGTTAATAATAAAAAGGTGATAGAATTCAATGAGTGACATTAGTGATAAAAAGAAGTGTTGTTCTCTTTAGAGATTTCGAGTTCGAATAATTGCGTTTACAGAATGTGTGTTGTCATTAACTTAGAAAGGTTATCTATAAATATTATCTTATAATTACATTAGACTATTTAAAAAATAATAATAATATAATATAATATTTTTAAATTTAAAATACATTAAATTAATGATAAAAATGTGACTTTTATTTGGTGGGATCAACCAGTTAAATTAATTTTGATTCAACATGTATACAAATAGTTGTTATAATCTTTTCTTTGCCAACGTGATTTAATGGGACAAAGCTGAGCCATAACAATTGAGACTGAGACGTGACAATTTGGTATGGAACCGGCAACCCTCAAATGCGGCCCATCTCCCTTACAATGTTCACATCGGATGACTAATTGCAAGCAAGTTGTGTCACGTGTTTCTTATGTTTTTTTTTTTTTGTAAAATGTTTCTTGTGTATTTTGATTGCACCAAAGTCAATTATCTCGTATTAGTTAATGTAAAGGGTTCAAAAATACCCAACTTCTAATATTCGATTCGTTCCGAAAGAAGAAAAAATAGATATTATTTTTTAAAAAAAAAAAAATTGCCATCCGTATATTTGCCATTTGGTCCGCTAATTACAAGGATTTATGGATCTGATTTGAGTTGAAATATTAGCTACAGCCAGATATTTGAAAATTTCAATTCTTATTTTTAATTTAAATTTTATTTGTAAAATAGTAATTATATTAAATTATTTTTATTTAGATATTTAATTTTATATTAATATTAAAATAATGAAATATGTACATGTAATTAATTGATTATTCGATTTGCATACCTGAAATATTAACTACAACCATATATTTATATTCTGTAGTTGCTGGCCGTGACAGAACACAAGAAAGACCAAGTTCCGCCACTGATTATTGATCAAACCTAAAACCTCTAAAATAACAACAATATATCTAACAATTAGAATAGCTGGCTTCGTGCCCAAATATTTGAAAATTCCATTCCTAATTAACACATGTTTTATTTAATCTTTACAAGCCTCAACACAGTGAACGTGGGACGGTACCACATGGAAGATGACGTTTTTTAAGAAAAGAAAAACAAATTGAAAAGGATAAATTACATATTTAGTGCTTAAACTATCATTTTAGTGTATAAAGTATTTAAACTTTTATTTTTTTTAAATCATACCTAAAGTTTAGTTTTTATTTTATTTTATTTTAGTACATCACCGTTGAAAAAGTAACATGCTTAGTACCTAAACTATTAGTTTAGTTCGTTTTAGCAACTAAAGTTTTATTTTTTTTTCAAAAATTAACATTAAATTTTGAATAAGGTACTAAAATGAAAAAAAAAACTAAACTTAGATATGATTTTGAAAAATTAAAAATTTAGATACTAAAATAGACTAAATTAATAGTTTAGGTACTAAATGCATAATTTACCCTTAAAATGTGAAGTACAAATTTTAAACACACAACACACAAATCTATATTTACATTTTTTAAGTTTCCAAGGATAAGGATGTTGTTTTTATTAGAAATTTTAAATTTAAACTGTTATATTTGTAAAGTGTGTATTTTGTGTGTGCATTGTCAACAATTAATTAAAAATTTTGAATAGATATTGTCTTGTAATTACCTCAAATTATTCAAAAAAATAAATAAAACTACGTTTGGTATTAAAAATGGAATTTTTTTTCTTAAAAACAGAAAATCATTAAGAAAACATGATTTCAAGAAAAAAAAATAAAAATATGTGAAAATTTAAAAAAAATTTAAAAAAAATCATTACTTTTCTAAAAACTGAAAAGGTCGGATACAAAAAGTTTTCAATTTAATAAATTGACCTTAATTCAGATTTATATAAATTCAAGTATAGATACTCATTTGTGTCCGTAATTTTGGCCGAGATTTTATATTTTTAGTTATTTTCTTTAATTTAATTTTATTAGTGTAGAGATTAATATTTATACATACTATATGAGAGGGATTAATATATGTTATATTACGTATACATATTATTATAGGTAAGTTTATATATATATGTCTCGTTGTTTTCTTTAATTTTATTTTATTAGAATAGATATTAATATTTATACATACTATATGAGAGGGATTAATATATGTTATATTACCTACACATATTATTATAGGATCTGATTTTGAACGACATAGTATGCTTCATTGAGACCCATGAGAAACTGAAAAAGCCTTTGTTGTGCTTAATGGAGAGAATTTCTCTGCGAGAATTCACAACCACAAGAAGAAAACAGTACCAAAGCTCCATACTAGTCCCAAAGTTTAAGGCGAGTGAAATAGGCAGATATAGTGGAATCACCTTGCATCAATACGGCTATTTCACGATGGAGAAAAACGTGCGGGATGCATCTACAATATCAAACCTCTCGTTCAAATCTTGCCACACCAAAGCAGCACTAGAGGCGAAAACGATACCAATTGAGAGTTCTTTCCTCACTGTGTTGAAAAGCCAAGATAAAACGATTGCATTACACCTCTAACCTCTCCTACTTCAGATGTAAGATCTTGTCAAAATTCTCCTTCGTGCAATTATCATTGATAAAACCTAATTTGTTTTTGGCAAGCAAGATAATATTTATGGATCTGCTCCAAATGCTATAATATTCGATACTAAGGAGCTGGTGAGAAATAAGAAGACATCCAGGTACATCATAAGCATGTAAAAACAAGGGAGGATTAAAATCGAGCGCTGAAGTTTTCATCACAATCGAGAGAAATGAAAACAAAGACGGAGGAAAAAAGGAAAAACCTAAAACAATTTTGACTTAATCCAAAAATATATGACGCAAGCAAAAATGAAATTCTTTCAAAAAAAAAAGATTTAAAATTAAACATTTTTTCTTTTTAATTTTAAATCTTACATTAAATTCAATTATTTAAAATTATAAAAATTTATTTAGTTTAAATTTATAAAAAATATTTTTATTTTTATATTATAGGCTTTTTCCAGAAATTTTGTTTAAAATATAAAAAAATATCGAATTTGGTTTTAAAAATAAGATAATAAACTTATTCTGATTTGTTTTAAAAATATAAAATATTGATAGTTAAATATCATTTAAATATTTTTATTTCTTTATTTTTATATCACTAATAATATTATGAGATAAATAAATGTTGGTGTAATTATTAAACCAAATGAAGCAATTAGCTCAATGGTTTGGGCACCTCATTTCCATCCCTTAAAGAACCCAAGTTTAACCCCCCCCCCTAATTTCAAGTTATCATTTATTTATTTTCTTTCCAATTAAAGGTGACACATGTTACTCTATGATTAGATAAAAATAAATTTAATTAAATAAATTAAAATTAATAAAAAAAACTTCCTCCAATTAAGTGGTGACACATGACACTACTGACACGTGTCATGACTATCTACTGACTCCTAACCAACATTAATATATTATACAAGTATTGAGGATCAAATGTATAATTATATAAATTTATGTTAATTGTCACATCATCTCATCGTTAGATTTTAATGACATGTGGCTTAAATGATACCACTTAAATAGTTCAATGGTCATACTGTGTTGGGCTTAAATTTAAAAATGGTGATCATTTACCAACCCCATAGTTGGGTGGTTATTTAAGTAATTTACTTATTATAATTTTCAATTTTAACCAATTAGATATATAAAATCTAAAGATTAACCTAGATGGAGTGTATAAATTTAAAGATTAATATGAAAAAAACTCAATAAAACCTATCTAAAATTGTCTTGAGAAAATATCTAAATTCAAAAATCAAATGAAAATTTATCCCGCTTACAAAAATAAACTATGTTGATATTATAAAACATCATTTTGACTCTTCTATCCTTTATGATAAGATATGTTGATATTGTCGCATTGGCGTCCACAAGATACTAAAGTGTATTCATCAACAACCTTCCCTTCCGATTCTATAAATACCCATCACTCTTTCACACTAAAAGATCATCCCTATTTGCAGCACTGAAACTTACCTTTAAGAAACAAAGACAATGGCTTTCAGTAGAAACGCTCTTTCCTTCAACCATCAATTAATTTCCGGTTCCACCACTAAGCATCCCACTGTTGACACGAAAGCAGGCACTACTTCCGTTGTTTCCCTGCCGATGATCCCTCAAACACTGCCCGTTCTGACCATAAACAACCCTCTTTCATCTGTTGGAACCGTTGATAAGAAAGAGGTTGTTAAAAATATTCCTGGGAAATTTGGAAAGTTTGGGGGAAAATATGTGCCCGAGACACTTATAACTTGTTTAGGCAAACTTGAAGCTGAGTTCAACTTGGTTTTGCATGATTCTGGGTTTCAGGTTAATTTATGTTTGATGTTGAATATTTGAATCACAGTAACTGTGATTTAACATGTTTTCAAACTTAAAGATCGTGCATGTTTGTTGCAGGAGGATCTGGCAACAGCATTAAGGGACTACGTCGGAAGAGAGACGCCGTTATACTTTGCTCAGCGGTTGACGGATCACTACAACAAGAACAGCCACGGCGAAGGACCGGAGATTTATCTAAAGAGAGAGGATCTAAACCACGGCGGTGCTCACAAAATAAACAACGCCATAGCGCAGGCGATGATTGCTAAACGGATGGGCCGGAAAACCATAGTGACAGCCACCGGGGCTGGCCAGCATGGAGTTGCGACAGCCGCAGCATGTGCAAAGCTTTCACTAGACTGTACCATCTTCATGGGGGCTACTGATATGGAAAAACAAGCCTCCAATGTCCAATTGATGAAGCTTCTCGGTGCTAGAGTTGAACCTGTTGATCATGGAACATTCAAAGACGCGAGTTCGGAAGCCATTAGAGCGTGGGTTGGGGAACTAGAAACGAGCTATTATCTGACGGGAACGGCTGTAGGGCCTCATCCGTGTCCGAGCATGGTGCGTGAATTTCAATCGGTCATCGGAAAGGAAACGAGAAGGCAGGCCATGGAGAAATGGGGTGGGAAGCCAGATGTGCTGGTGGCTTGCATAGGGAGTGGGTCCAATGCTTTAGGTTTATTTCATGAGTTCATAAAGGACGAAGATGTAAGGTTGATAGGGGTGGAGGCCGGTGGGTTTGGGCTAGATAGTGGCAAACATGCTGCGACTTTAGCAAGGGGAGATGTGGGGGTGTATCATGGAGCTATGAGTTATCTTTTACAAGATGATGAAGGACAAATTCTGGGTCCCCATTCCATTGGTGTAGGGTACGTCCTTTACTTCCATGTGAAATATATATTGTTCCATTTTCAGAATCAAAACACCAAATTTAATGCCAAATTAACTGATGCAAATGACGAGCAGGCTGGAGTATCCAGGGGTTGGACCGGAGGTGAGCTTTTTAAAAGAAACTGGTCGAGCCGAGTTTCATACTGCCACCGACAAAGAAGCTGTCGACGGTAAGCTGCCACAAAGTGTTTTCTTCTTGTTGTTGTTTAAAATTGAAGGATAATTAAGAAGAGATGAATATGTGCAGCATATCGACGGCTATGCCGATTGGAAGGAATATTCCCGGCGCTAGAGGCGTCACATGCATTGGCTTTCCTAGAGAAACTATGCCCTACTCTTCCACATGGGACCAAGGTTGTCGTTAATATCAGCGGCCGTGGAGATAAAGACGCTGCCATCGTCTCCCAATACTAACCACATCCAAGATTAACACTATATATAATTTTGTGTCATTAATAAATTAAATGATTATATATCATTTTTAAAAACTACTTTTGTTCTAGCCAAGAGACCTAGGTTCAAACCTCTCCAAATGTAAATTCTCGTTGATTTATTTTCTATCCAATCAAGAGGTGGCATGCATCATTGTTATACCAATTTTGTTAACTGCCTCATAAGCATTATCGTTAAATGTTAACAGCATGTAGCTATATTAAAACCAATTAAATAATTAAGTGATTTAATTTTGAAAATGGTCATAACTCCAAGCCTATAATTGGGTGGTCATTCGTATAATTTACCCTTATAAAATTATAAAAAGAAATAAATAATAAATTTAAACATAATTTATCATTTCTTATGAAAAGGACTTAAGGACCACTTCTAGATGTAGCAATATTAGTGGATAGGATTTCAAAGGAGAAGCAAAGAGCAATGAGAAAGCCTCAACATAAATGTGCAGACAAGGATGGGCGCAGTTTGGCCTAGGAGAGGGGAAATGCCCCCATAATTTTGGAAAATTTATTTTTAACCCCTCAAAATTAAAATAAAAAACTTAATTAATCCCTCCCAAAATTTTATAAATTCTTAATTTTTTTAATACTTTAACTATTCCCACCAAAAGTTTTAAAAATCTCATTGTTGCTCTTAACTTTTTTTTAGAAAAAAATTCCTTTAATTCCTTAAATTTGTTTAAAAACTTTTATTAGGCCTTATCCACTTCTAAAATTTTTAATTTAGCCCCTTAAAGTGGTAATATAAAGAAGTAATATAATCCTTTGTAATCGTAGGAAAAATGTAGATGTGTACGACTGTTGAGAAATATAGCTAGTTATAAATACAGTAAAACCTCTGAAAATTAATCATGTCGGGACCACATAATTTTATTAATTCAAAGAGTTATTAATTAATTGAGAAATTAATAATTTATTAATTTAAATAGATTTTTTATGATCAAGTGAACCTACATTATTCTTCACGAATAAAACGTATAAATTATATTGACTAATTGAATGATGTTTATGTACAATGTGACTAATTAAATTTTAAGAACGCAACATCAAAATTTTTGGATGCAGTAAGGAAAGTTAGAGATGAAATACAATTTGATTTAGATTTTAAGAAGAAGCAAACAACAATATAATCATAATTTATTAAGTTGTCCTAGTTATATTGGTAATTTTACAGACTTATTCATTTGTACTATCGAAGAAATTTAATATTCAGAAAAATTATTATCTTATTAATTTATTAAAATTATTAATTTATGATAAAAATCATTATTTTAAAAATATTATTAATTTATCGAGTATTAAGTATACTCGTTATTTTATGACTGCTGTCATTCTTTTAGGAATTACCAACCTTTTTACTATTCTGTCCCCTCTATTTTACTTGTAAATAGTGACCTTTATAATATCGTTTGATATACTAAAAATAATCTGCCTTCCATATTTCTCTCCTTTGCTTTTTGATATTTTCCTTTTCCTCTTCTAAAAAAGACCAGCTTCTTGACATGGATCGCATGTGCTTTACCAATGATTTTTCTATTCTAGCTAAAGAGTTAGGTTTAACAATGATTTTTCTATGTGTCACCGTCTAATTGGTTGAATGACATTAAAGTTAGGATCAAATTGATCGAATGTATAAATATTTACTAACAAATGTATAATTATACCAATCTTGTTAACTTCCATGTCATTGCTACGTTAAATATTAACGACAAGTGGTTTGATTGACATCTTTTAAATAGTTTAGTGATCTGATTGACAAAATTGAAAAATCGATGATAAAAGTGACAGGGCTAAATAGTTTGGTGGTTTGATTGACAAAATTAAAAAAATCGATGATAAAAGGGCTAAATAGTTTAGTGGTCAATGATATAGTTACCCATAAAATAATAAATGTAAATATATTCATTTATAAAGAGAGATTAGAAACAAATTACTTCACGTTAGTGTAGATAGTTTTTTAATAGTTCGCGAGTGATTATAAGGTGTTATCTGCTCAAAAAAATTTTAATCAATTGACAATATATACACCTTACAGACGCAATTGGTCAAACTCGGAATTTTAAAGAGAATAACATTTTCTTTTATCATTGGGATCATTCGATAGATTTTGATGTAAGATAACTTCGCTTAGAAGCAAAGTACACTTTTCGATTAATAAACTAATGTATCAACTAATTAAAATGGCATAATCGAATAATGAATGAAACAATAACATAGAGTTTTCAGCAACCGGTGGTATTAGAAATAGTCGGAGTCAATTTTCACAGGAAGTGAAACAGTAGAGAAAATAACCATGATGGAAGGATCTTGAAAATACAAAATTTTCACTTTTACAAAACTAAAAGGCTAGGACGAAGAACATCAATATATTTTACAAAAGAATCATAGTTTTATCTTGTTGTATTGGTATCTCCAATTTCAACTTCTAACTTTCTTACAAGTTATTATTCTTAATTAATAAAAATATATTTTAAAAAATTAAAACTAACGTGGACAAAATAAATCATTTAAAGATTAATTTGGGAAAAAAAACTCGATGATTGATATGAATAGAGACAAACCCTTTTATATATAAAGCTAATGTATGTATGTATGTATGTATGTATGTATGTAGAAAGGGGGGACGAAAAGTATTTTTGTTGTTAATGTAGGGCATTGTTCCTTGTTTCATATGTTTTCCTCATAAGGATGCTGTCTTGAGATCATCAATGATTCAATTGAAAAATATTTATATGGTTTTGGTAGGACACCGAATATCAGGATTATGGCCTTCAATGAATATGTCTACCCAATTTGATAGTCGCACAAATCGACTTTGATATTCTAATATTGTCCAGTTCTCCATTAAAATTTTCATGTTTAGATGACCCAAAGTGAATAACAATGTCACTTTTATATTAGGAACGCACTAGCATGATTCAAATCAATCGTACCACGTATTCGCATGAATCGAAGCTATTTTCACTTTAAATTCTTCCAAGGATATTTTTTGTGGGTTATATTTTATTGTTTACCAAGTATGATCATCGGACATTACATATTTATAGAGTTCATAATACTTTATCATCGAGGATTAATATTCTTAAATAACACAAAGTAAGGAAAATAAATATTTTAATATAAATTTATAAGATTAAAAAATCAATTGTTTTAAATAATAAACCCATAAACACAAGAATGCAATCTAAATGATAAATTCTTAAATTAAGAATCCTAACAAGTTGCAGGAGGAATATTGTGAGCTTAACACACATTATTATTGTTATTATTATTTTGATTAAAGCTTAACACACATTAAGATGTCAGGGAGGTATTTTGGAGTACTTAAGGTAGCGAGGAATTTAAAACAAAGGGATTGGAAGAATCTTGATGAATTAGTTGGTTATGTGATAGTCTAATCTAAACTTAATTTGTAACAATTTAATTTAAGAATAATTTGCCGACAAATATTTTAAAATATTATTTTATCCAACCTAAAATGCTATGCAAATGATTAATTTTGATTACAACCAAGAATATTACATTATGACATATTTTAACCCGTAATATCCTTTAAAAAGTTACGCTTTTGATATTTTTTTTTCTATTTGTTCAAACCTTTGTATTTTACGATCATTTTAGCGCGTTGTAGCCTGACGTGAATAAATCGGTTTGTTCAAACATAAAATGCAAACCATAAAAAGAACAAAACAAGGCCAATTTTTTAATTGAGGCCCACTAGAAACATGAACTGATATAAATGAAGATAATTTCAACAATTCAATATCCATTATTTTGGAAACAAAACTAACCAAATCCCACAACCAAAAGGAGTCTAATCAGTCGGTGTTCTGTCGCTGATTCAATCAAAAGAGCCTTTCTAACAGCATCAGCAATTGAAGCTTTCCATGTGACCCTGCAGAATATCAAAATACAGGAAAAAAGAACAAAGAAAACTCGGACGCATAAGTTAAATATCGTGAATTCGTTCGCAGCAAGTTCGGGAACTACATACAGGGGTCGAAACTCGAAATGGCACAGTAAACAAACAAAGCAATACTTCCCCATACAACATTTTCAAGATGCTAGCTGTGACTACTGTCGTCAAGACGATAAGAGAAACAAGGAGAGTGCAACAAAACTAAGGCTCCGATCGAATCTGTAACCCTTTTGCTGCAAGATAATGTGCATAGTACAAGATCAACTATACATGTACATGGTTTTGGCACGTAGCCAAGCTGCTGCAACCACCAGAACTAACATAAAACTTAGAAAGAGCATACCACTAAGGTGAAACTCAAACGAAGTGACATAAAAGCTTAGACGCCGATCTAATAAGATTAAGTCCGCAATCTTTTTCTTTGACTACTGTCCTCAGAATCTCCCTGCAAGTAACGAGAAGAAAAATATAAGACAGAACAAAATATATATATTTGCAGAACCAGTCTTGCACGACACCCCCTCAGCATTTAAAAAAGCAAGGAAATAAGAATCATCAAAACATGTCTATAGTTGCAGGAAACCAGAAACACTCCAAAGCAGTTATAATCTTGGTAAATTTCTGTATTCCTGAAAACAAACAAGCCAGATGAAACTTATCTCCCATAATTTAATGCCAAAATATATAAATGAGAAGAGCATATCATCCAACTTCACTTCTAAAAATTATCAGTATTCAATTCCACAACATATTTTCTTTCCATGATCTACACAAAAATCGCATTTCAGCTTCAACTAGAAATGGAATTGAATATGATGAAATAACAGAAATAGTCTAATAAAAGATGATATTGGCAACAAGGAAAACTAATATGGCAATGCAATTTAGAGGTAAAAATAAAAATACATACCCCATCATACCCTACAAGATCTTCAGGGGGAGCCACACTAGTTTCTGACCTGCATTTAGCATGCACTATGGGACCTAACTGTGACCTATCAATGCCTTCAATTGATCCATTGGGTGCATTCATGTAGACAGCCCCCCTATACATCCACTCCTCTGTTTCATCACT